CGTGACAACTGCCAAATATCTCCATCGCCTGCAAAAAAAGCACCACCGTACCCCCGTAGAAGCTCCGCAAATACGCACCCTGATGACCACACATCAATTTCGGGTCCGTAGTGTCGCTGGCCCAGAAGTAACTCGGGAGCCCGATACCACCTCGAAACGATTTCGTGAGTCATGGATGCTTCCGTGTCCCATACACGACTGAGTCCAAGGTCGCCGAGGCGTAGTTCCCCCTCCGCAGTCAAGAAACAATTTGAAGGTTTCACATCTCGATGAAGAACACCCTCGCTGTGTATGTACGCTAACGCCAAAAGAAGCATCTTAAATAAAGACTTTGCCTCTAACGCGGGCAGAGGATTGCTGGCAGTTCTCCCCGAGAGGACTGTTGCCAAGTCAGTCTTGCAACGCTCCATCACTAACGCCAAGGAGCAGCCACACGGAACCACCTCATATTTCCGAATAACAAAAGGATGCACCAATCGCAATGCAACGAGTAGTTCCCTCGCTGTGGGGTGCGGAATACCCTCATCGAGACGTGGAGTTGTGATGAATTTGATTGCGGCTGGCACTCCAGATTCCTTAACAACTGCAGCACGAACGACGCCAAAGCGTCCCTCACCAATTGGGGATCCAACAATAAAACGATCCATGTCAAGCGACCACCTCTCTCTTCTTTATTTCTCTTCTCCACCCCTCCCTTCCATTCTACGGCATCGTGAAAATATAAATGGAACACAAAAAATTGACTCCGGTGATGCCAAAATCCCTCCGCACCCAAAGATCATTCTCAATGCCCCTCCCTAATGAGCACATGCATAGAAACTGAAAGAACTCCAATTTGTCTCAAAAGAATCCATTTTTGTGGTGGTGGTAGTTATTGTTTTCTCCTCGTCAGAATCTAATTATTTCAAAAACTTTCTCGTATTTAAGACTTCTGACTCTCTATTCACAACAGTGGCAGTCGCACCAGAGTACATCTTTGCTCGAGCGAACAAACTAACTCTTTCAGTCCTGGGTTTCTCATGGCACACTTCCACCTCAACAGGGGGAAGAGGAGGAAGAGAAGAAGGCTGCTGCTCTTCCGTGGAATATTTCGGTGTGGCTGTGGCCACATCACCCTCATTTTTGGCTTGCAGTTGTGCCGCACGGTCCTCAACCCAAAAAAGGAGACTGATCCATAGTCGTATTCTCAGGGGCAATGAGATCATCTACACAGACAAGAAATTCCTCAGCGCCTGTGCTCAATGCACACTCCCGAGAATCATCCGCAAAACAACTGCCTGTATGCTCCCTCACCACCAATGATTGACTGAGAGAGTTCTTTTTCCGCAAGAGCTCATCACGTAGTTTATTAACGGTTGACGCGCCACCCCTCTTGGCTGCTACTCGTAAAGGAATGGAGTGAGTTGCCCTCCGAACCGTCGCATTGGGGATGCCGCTGTCCGTCTTTAGACACCGATTCGTCCGGTACGTTTTTATCTCCGTAAAAGACTCGCGTGTACGGCCCAAGCCTCCCTCTTGCGTGCGCCGCCAAAATGCATCATACCGTTGCCTCTTGCTTCTCAGGTATGAAGACGGCGCGTCTTCGGCTTCACGATCGCTGATGCTCTGCTCACTTTCCCCCGAGTCATCCGGAGATAAAATACGTCCAGTTGTTGTTGCGTCTTGTGAAAATGCGTTTGTTACACCTGCGGCACCCGCGCTCCCTCGCCACCAAAAGGAACGCTGTCGCCAGATTCCTTCCTCGCCCTCTTAAACTCCTTCAGAAAAACGGAAACGTCCATTTTCTTCAAAAGTAAAAAGAAGAAAAAGAAAAAGAAATGAGCATGTGCTTAGATGAGGTCGTTGACGTCTTATCCTCAGAAATGTAAGAGGAGGAAAACACAACAAAATGGGAGAAGACAATTTAATCACACATCGCTCTGCATCAACGCGCTCCAAAGAAAAATCATCCAGCACGCATGCACACGCAACAAAAGCCATCAGACAAATAGATCGACAGCAGCCAAACTCGTCGTAAAGTAGCAGAGCCGCAGCCTTAATTTAGTGCCCCTTTTGGCCGCCGGACTCCCCCGCACCGCGTGAGGCGCAATGAAGGAGGCGGGTGGGACGGCAGAAAGAAACCGCAGCCGCCACCTTCCCGCGCAGCACCATCAAAATTCCCCCACAACTCGCACATTCGTTCCAAAAAGTTTCTAAAGACAACAACTAAAAACGCTGCAAATCAATAAATATGAGATGTTTTGAGCACTGCGGATTGCAAGGCGGAGCATCCACGTATTCCACAGGAGGGCGGACTGGCACTTCAATTGGAAGGACAAAAATTCATAAGTTTTTCCTCCTCCTTTTGTTTCTCAGTGAGTGCAAAAACGCAGACGAGGGAAAACTCACAGTTTTTCAACGAAAGAAATTCTTTTAACAAAAAAAAAGACGGCAGCCAAATGAGGGCCATTTTTTCTGCAAATTGTGCCGGAGACAAAGGAACACCAACAAATAACACACGCGGAAATCACAACAAACACAAACACGTGAAATTAAAAATAAAGAGGCAACAACTAACATATCATACCGTCCTTATTTTCATTACAGAGTTCGTTACAAAAAAAACCCCTCCATAGGATCCCCATCGTGCGCATGTTGCAGCTCGGAGGCAGACAGAGTCGAGAGAAACAAGTGTTTACAATGAGATGCCACATCACTCGCATTGGCCTCATTCTCTACAACAATGGATTCACTTGAAACCTCAGTTTTTGCAGTAAAATCTCTCTCTCAGCCGTTCTAATCGACTTTAGAGATCCACGGCCCAACCTGAAGTGCACATCCACCAAACGCTTAGCGGGCATCAACACGGTTTCCCCATCACTCACCGTAACAAATCACCTGACACCTCGCAGCTGGTACATAAATAAGAACATGGATTACGTCAGAGCCCTCTGAATACCGAAGGTTGTCCTGCGGTGCAGCAAGAAAGGCGAGGCCACCGGTGTGTTGCCCATCATCCATAGAGGAGTATACACCTGCCAGAGCAGCGGAAACATCGTCGTCGTCATCATCCAAATCAGCATCGTCAGCATTCTCCTCGTCGGGAAATGTACCTGCGGTATTTCGATCTTCTTCTCTTCGTGGCGTCCAAGAGACAACAGTTGTTGCCTGGGCAGATTCAGTAGTCAAACGATCGGACTCGCAATTACAGGCATTCACACCGTTCAACTCTTTATGGTGGCTCTGAGCACTAGCACGGGACGGATTTGTAGCCTGCGGTGTCTTTGAGAGAAATTCAAAACATTTGCGGCACACCCGTCGTGGTTTATTTACATGAAGCTTTTGTGATTTAACGAAAAAAGCTCGAGCATGACGCACAGAAAATACCGCCAAAGTGCCGACAATGATGACTCCTGCACCCGAAATTAAATTTGACCTCACATAATTCGCACTTATGCATTGAGCTATCAGACGTCCATTCGCCTAATACCGATGGCCTGATCGTCATGTGCCATACTTTATTTCTACTGCATTTAGTAACAGACATAGAAAAGAATATGTGCATACAAATACATATATAATATCACACGTGAGGGGCATCCGTAACAGTAATGATAAGGCCAACCATATGAAGGAAGCTAAGCCGCAGACACACACTATATATATAGGGAAAGAGAGAGAGACAGAAAGAAAAAAAAGGGGAAACATTGTTGTTGCTTTTTGGTGTTGTTTCGTTTCACAAAAATTGCCTTTACCGTCATGTGCAGCAACTTCAATCACGGCCCCAGTGAGTCCTCACCATCACTCTTTTTTACCATGGAAGACAATGGCAACCAAGAAATATTCACCTGAGACGGTGAAGAAGAGTCCCCGTCGTCACTTCCACTCATGGAGTCTTCACGCAGGCTGCCGTTTGCGAAGGAGTTGTGGATCATCGTTCTAAGAGTGTGCCATACGCGACGAGCCCGAGACGGTGCAGGAATTCATTCAACATGTCGTCGGGGCCAGGGGCTGAGCCAAGCAAAGAGTCACGGATGGCCACGTCAAGTTCATGCGGCAGGAAAGGTCGATCCATTTCCCAGCCACCAGGAACCAAAGGAGTGCAGCGAGCAGCAGCAGCAGTACAAGGAGGTGTGGCACGTGAAACCGCACAAAATGACGGACAAGCAGGTTTGCCTGTTGCCGAGGCAGGGCGCAAACGCGGCCAAGATAAGTGCGGAGCACAACCGATTCCAAAGGATGAGGGTGCGGCGCCGCCACGCCGTGAAGATATTGCCACCTCGGGCTGGGTGAGGCTCCAAGTCTTTTCGCACGGGCTTCCAGAAGCACAGCGGAGCAACGGCGTAAGGCTTGATTTCGTTCCTCCTTTTTTCTGGTACATTCGGCTCAAAGTAGGCTGTCTCCGGGTGAGGCAATGTGTGTGCTTCGTGAGCTGCTTCGGCGGCGAACTCGGCTTGTTCCATTTCGTGGGTCCATATCTTTTTGGAGCTGTCACGGCTGCCGCGCGGGATATGGCGCTCAGCTGTTCGTAAGATGCCTCTGCGAGGATCCAACCATGTGGACGCGGTGGCAAGGAGGGTTTCACACAACAATGAAAAAGCAGGCCAATCCGCTTTACGCAGAGCAAAGATGGCTTTCTTCCGTCAAGGCAGCGTGTTTGCTAGTCGTGGAGTCCCATCATCCATATCTACCAAGTAAGATATTCAGCGGTGGTCCGAGTCCATGTAAGGGACGAATGTCCAGTGGGAGATGCGTAGGGCGCAATACGCAGCCACGTCAGGGGACGAGGCATTACGATGTGTGATCCGTGTTGCCTGCGCCGGGTCATTCGCCAGCCCAAAATCCATTTCAATTAGAACAGCGGCGAAATTATCGCCTCCAGTCCTTGATGGTATATATGACTGTCCCAGAGTTCACGATGTAAATTCGGGTCACCCGTGATAATCTCTTCGGGCACAAGCGACAAACGATATTGATAAATGCGGATTATTGACCAATTGCTGTGGGAGGGTTGTAGAGATTCACCACGCAAATGCTGGAAAAGCCCGGTGGAAATGCACGGACAACAATGGTCTCCAGAAGGTCAGTGCCAGGGAGCGACAGGCGCTCGCACGGCAGAGAGTGGCGCACCAGAACGGCAACGCCACCACCGCGCCCAGTGAGGCCTGAAGGTAGTCATTATGGCCAGATAATTTCATCGCTACGTCACCACGGTTATTTAGTTCCTGCAGAAGAAAGATGTCAGGTGGACGCTGCTCCAATCGCGCCGCAAATGCAATATTTTTCACGGACGAGAGGCCTGCAATGTTAAGCTGCCAAATATTGATGTAACCATCCTCCTCGGGCCAGGGTTCTTGTGGACACCGCAGCGGCATGTGATATCGACGGAGTGACTGCTGCGAAACGGTCGTGCAGTTTTGTCCGACAGTCTGCGGGCAGACCGCCTCACCTTCCCGCACCGGGCATGGCGTGGAACCTTCTCGAGAGGCGGAGTCGTCTTGGTCTCCGTCGTGCTCGCGGCAACGCCCTGCTGCGGAGTTCCTATACGCAACCAAAGCCCCAGCACCGCGAAAGGGTACGGACACCATCGCTGGAGTACACTGCAATACCCATATATCGTGTAATTGTCGTTAAGTTCTTACCCACAGTCACAAAAAAAAGCAAGGCATTTAGAGGCACACACAACCACAACGGGGCGTCAGAAAAAAACAAACGGGATAAACGGTGGAACGCAACACTGCACGGCTGCCCAAGCCGTGGCGAACCGCGGGAAATATGCTGGAAAGTAAGAAAAGATAAATCCGTCTTCCATTATGCATTCACTCAAAAAAAAAAAAAACTGCACGTTGCTGCGTGGCCTCCAAATCGGTGCGTTTGTTTCGCCTGCAGATAAAAAATAAATAAATGTGTTGCACTCGTTATAGTCTTTTAAACCCCCGGTGCCCAGACATTATTTATATTCCACTGGGATACTCGGCGTGGTTTCGTGTCCCCATTCCATTGTCTCTTTTATTAGCCGGCGCCATCGGCGTGGCACACAATGCCGAGAGCGCCCACGATCACTTTAAAAGGGGGAAAAAAACACTGAGTAGATCCCGCCGTTGTCGGACCACAAAAAAAAAAAAAGAATAATCTTCCGGGCAGCTGGCCGGATCCTGAAATTATCTATGGAAACCAAACAAGTTAGGGAAAAAGGTTCGTTAGTTAATTGCTTCAATGTTTTCTTTTCATTCAATATATAAAATTCTCTGGACCACCAGCATGGTCCTTTGTCCTCAGTTGGGATTTACGTATTATTACTTACGAAGTGGCAGACTTTTTGGTCCTCCAACCACAAGACCCCGCCGCGTGGTGGGAATCAAAAGGGGGTGGGTGGGATGGCAAAATAAAATTGAAAATATTATCTGGCCTCTATCCGCTCCCGCCCCTACAAAGTCGAGTTCTTCCCAAAGGATTCATACGGTAGAAAGTATCATAAAGAATGCATTCATTTATCAGGATATAAACATACATCAATTATGTTAGCCAGCTCTCCCGCGATCATTCTTTTCACAAGCTCCTAAAAAATAAAAAAATAATAATAATTTCGTCTTACATCTGTCTGCTCCCTGACTCCCTCAATCGCGGTCTCCCAAAAGACAGTGCGGTAGAAGAGAAAAAAGTTGTGGAGAGATATCTTCGTTTGCGCGAGATATGAATTTATTTGGGCAGCCAGCCGCCCTCTCAAGAATTCTTTTCACAAAATCCCATAAAAATACAAAAGAATTCTGCAGCCTTCATATTTCGCAGAAGCTTCTAATGGCAATGGACTCTTTAAGAAAAAAAAAAGTAAAATAGAAGAATTTTATTGCTGTGGCACCGTGGATCATAATGATTCTCTCTCACAAGAAACTCTCTGAATAAACCCGGTGGCCACAAAAAAAGAAAAAAAATTAAAAATAGTTAAGATACTCCCAATATATTTCACCAGAACGAAATGCACTCTGTTCCCCAATTATTTCCCCAACTTTCTTCCCTATCCCTTTTCTACAAGATTATTGTATTCTCATTTCTGTGATTTTACTTAAAAAATCACGTGTTAACATAAACTGGTATTGGTGTACCTCTTTATTCCAGAACGCCACAATTTTTTTTTCAGCGTCGGTTTCATTATTGGGATTGACGACATCGCACCTCTGCCATTTTAATATCTTTTTGCTGAATGCGTTTTTTATATAAATCATCTCCCACGACATTTCTCGGGATAATTCGTCCCATCCTTCAAAATATGCCGCCAGGCACTCAGTGAACTGCCTCACGGTGCTGGTTGTCGTGTGGTGCGCACCCGCCGTAGTAATCTGCAGCCCAACCAGCGTATTCCGGGGTGAATTCAAAAAGAAAAAGCCGTCCACCAGCGGAAAGTTTTCAACCTTCGGTATGCACAGCACCCCGTACTTTACGGAATCCTCGTGACACCGCCTTCCAGTTCCGTTAATCCAACGGTGCGAGTGGGGTGCCCTTGATGGTTTACCTTCAGCACTGAATCCTGTGCTTCACTACGTTCTGGTGGCCTCAGCTCATTGAGTCCCTTTAATAATGCAATGACAAACTCCCCATAAATGAATGCGCACAAACCTAATTGTTCCAGAGCTCGGGAAGCAAGAGCACCACGCGATCCCAATATTAGCAACAAAAGATCCTTCGCACCCATTTTCTTTTCCAAACGGTCCGCAATTCGAAACCCGATATCAGCACTTATTGTTGCGTTGAGAAATAACTCAGCACCTTTTTTTGTTATTTCCCGGACGACCTTCACAAGTTTGTGAGACGGATCCTCGGAATACCATAGCTTACCTCCTCTCAGGGTAAAGTACTCTCCAACATCAGTGAGTTTGATCGCCAACAAGGCACCATTAATGGCAGCCAAGCGATCTTTATAACTTTTCTCATCAAAGATGTGACGTGGAATCGGCCCCACTTTATCCATGCGTTCTTTGACCTTCTTCCAGCATTCCGCTTGCTTATCTGGTTCCAGACCTCGCTCCATCCATGCACACATCGCCTTCACATCCATCTCGTCGGGACAATTCATGATGATTCGACTGGCTTGTACTTGCGTCGCCCACTTATCATAGTTGTCCAGATTTGGCGATGACACCACAATCATGCCCCATCCAGTAGAGGGCGCAAAGCCTGTGTCGGGCGGTGTTCCTTTCCTTGCCACATCGTAAATAATATACCCTTTCATCCCACACTGCCACAAACCATCCAAAACATTCTTGGATATTATCTCACCCATGTATTTTTTCACGGTTTTGGTGGTCTTGTCAAACACGTACGCCGTCTCTCCAAAACAGTGGACTACCAATTGGAGTTTCTCCACATCGTAGTGCAGCAGCTGATAGAGGAGGTACGAGCCGGCATTCATCGACTTCCCGATCCCGGGCGTCCCAATCAACACACGCGACAAAGGTGAAGAATTGAGAGTCAAATCAAAATTGCTAAACCACTTGGTTAGACCGCCCTTAACAATCTGCCACACTCGATCCACCTCAGAGTAAACACACAAGTCATTACCAGCCCCATTCAGCACACTCAGCGTGTACGGTCATCCCTTGTCCGAGGTGAGAACCATCAACACGGGAGGTGCTGCACCGGATTGCTGCACAGCGTCATCCTTTTCGAAGGTGTTGCCAACTTTCTTGTACGTCCATGACTTTTTCGGTTCCCCCTCCTTTACATCCATTCCCGTCCCCGTTTTCTTTCGCTCATCGCCGTCGGAAACTTCCACGACATGGTGCCAACTCGCATTGTGCACAGACTCGTACACTCCCTCCAGTTTTATCGCTACAATCGTCGTCGTTAGGATCCTCGCCTCCTCGGCAGCTGCATCCAAGAAATCTTTAGTGATGCAATGAACACTTGTTTTTACGTTTGCGGCAGCTTTTGACCACCCAAATAGATTGACGACATCCTTATCGCGAAGCTTACTTCGATCTTTTTCGAAGAATATTTCATCCCTTACAGCCCTCTCCATCCTCGCATAAGCATCGGTTATCTGTATTTCTTTCAACGCTCCCTTATCACGGATATACTTCGTGGGATCCTTGAAAAACTCCTCCAGCAAAACACTCCGATTGGTGTCCACAACGCCCCTGCCGCCCAATTCCATCGTAAGAAAATCATTCAACTTCTTTTCCTTGACGCGGACTCCTCCTTTAAACAGTACCTCTTCAATCGTAGTGGAAATGGTAAATTTCATTTCTTGCGCTCGTCTTAGCCTTTCTTCTGCCTTCCGCCACGCTTCTGTCAGTACCTGCGTGAGGGCTGCGTTTAGTTTTCCCCTGGCAATGGGAGTGAGCGTATCCTTTCCTTCATATTCCCTCCATTGCTCGAGCGAGACCACACCCTCGTGATGAAGCTTAGTAATGGCCTCCAATAGAATTTTCATCTCATCCAACTCCCTTTCCATCTCTTGGTACTCTGTTAAATTAAAAATAATTCTAAGAAGCCGCTGGTCTTGCACGTAAGCATCCGGCTCCTGAACAAACGCCTCCATAATGACGTTCCCATTTCTTTCCACAACCCACTCATCGCCCAATTTGCTCCGGAGGAAATCGTTCAGCTTCATGTCGGTGCTGTTATTGCTTCCACCCAGCAGGATGTCCTCAACGCTGCTGCTCATGGTCCAATGCGGCCGCATTTCCGCCACTCCTCTGCGAGTTGAAGCGTCGAAACCATCGCCGGGGATGCCGCTTCGAGGTGCCATCAGAACACCCGTGCGGTGAAGCATCCCACTCGCACCGCCCAACGGCGGCCAGCAGGTGCCGCTGGCTCCAAAGGACAGTCGCGGCTGTCTCGTCCCGCAGTCCCAATGACGTTGGGCGTGGCACTCGCACGGCTCGGTGGTCGGTGCGCCACGCAGCCGCACTGCAACGCCTGTCGGTGAAGCAGTCAAGGCCCACCACCTCCGCAGCAACGCAACGTGCAACCAACCACAACACCGCCACATTATCGTCCTTTTTTGATGTTATTCACGTTGTCCGTCGGTTTGCCCTATCACTAACAATAGTAATGAGTGTGCACCTTTGCAGAGGGTGAAGTAAAAAAACAAATAGAAAAGGAGGCACGATCCCACCGTCCGGCCGCGGGCCAACACTCTCCTCCACCCACCGCCATTGTCGCACAGGGGACCGCAGTCACATCGAAGAGTCAGCACCACAATGTGCACCACACCATCGTGCAGTGAACGATGGGCGAGACGCGGCCAGGCATCGCCCCGCTCCATTTTCCCACCACTCAAGTGTTGCGTGTCCGCACAAAAAAAGCAGCAAACACAATCAGAGTGCACACAAACCCAATCAACACCCTCACTCGCTGAAGCACATTATTCGCATGGGGTGGCAGTTAAGGACACACCAGCAGTAGCAGGCTGCATGGAAATTCCCTGACAACCCTGCGAAGAGACACAACAACTCTGCGGAGTAAAATTGGCAGCCCGCGGTGTTGCCCGCAGCTCACATGGCAGGAAGAATTCCACGCACGCATAGTTCCGGACACCTTGCTGTTTGAGTGTACATCAACAGAACAAGTGAGAAAAATACGTGCG